GGCGTGCATCACATCACAGTCCACACGTGGGCGGGGTGGGGTGAGGGGCCTAGGACTAAGGGGAGGGAGGGACACCTCGAACACGAATCATCTTTACCTATGTATCCTCCGCCTCCTCCACCAGAGGAGCACCCCCCGCCACCCCCTCCGAAACCCCCTCTGGTCTCCCACCCCCACTTCTTCGTGGCCTGGGGGCAGGAATGTCCTCCGGTGGCGCCCTCCAGCAAAGACTTTCCGGACCACAGCAGGGAAGTGTTATCGCTCCAGCCACCTCCACCGCCTGCAGGAAGAGACAGGGCACACCACGGTGAGGGTGCGGTGGGCTCAGCCAACCCCTCCGGCGAGCGAAGTGGGGTGTGTCGCATTTCGGGGGCGCTCCCACCAGCTCCGGTTCCGGGACCCCATTTTCAGGGGGCATGAGGGCTCCAGGTGGGCATGGAAGGCTATGTGCCCCAGGGAGGTGTGCCTGGCACAGCCGAGGGTGTCTGGGGGTGGGTCTCGGAGCCGGGCTTCCTGCCAGGCCTCTCTGGCTCTCAAGCAGGGATGAGTGCTCATTAGGGATGGGGATGCGGTACCACTAAATGCCCCCCTGACTTCCCCCCACCTGCTGAGCCCTGGAGCTTGGCCTTGCATCCTTCCTGGCTTCCCACCTTCACAGGACCTGGTCCTCCCAGATGCTGGGCAACCCACTGTGGACCCCTGCAGGGGCCACGACACTGATGACCCTGCAGGCAGCTGCACTGGTCACCAGACTGCCACAGGCCTTATTGTTTGCGGCCTGTGGCACCCTGGGTGAGGACCCCCCCCATCCTGAGCCTCAGATTCCTTGCCTGCAGCTTGGGGATGATAAGCCCCACCCTGGGGGTTGATGCTAGCCTCAGAGGCCTAGAAAGTGGCATGTAAGACACGCCCCATGCCGCCAAGTGGGGCTCGTTGGGGCGTGAGGCAGAATGTGCAGACAGCCCCCACAAGATGCTTGGCCTTCAAGACTCTGCCAAGGCCTGGGGCGGAGGAGAGCTCCGCACCAAGGAGTGGCAAGCCCCGTGCCTGGCCGCTGGGGAGTGGTGAGTCCCATGCCTGGCCGCTCCGAATTCCTGAAAAGGAGGCTGCCTGCAGAGCTGAGGCCCGACATGGCCTCAGGTTGACCACTATAAATCTCAAAAGCAAACATGTGGAAAAGAAAAAAAAACAAAAACAAAGGACACCAACATCCAAACCAAAACAAGCCCCTGGCATTTCAAGACATAGTCTGAGTCTCATCTCCACTCTCAATGACACGGCAACAGGGAGGAGAAAAACTCCCCAGACCTCTGGGAGCCCCCCACACTTCTGCCAGCCTACAGAGGGCTACCTGGAAGCCCGACGGGGTGGTCGGGGGCTTGTGGGCCCCAGATGGTAAGTGCTTCCCGGGTCGGGGTGCTCTGCCGGGTGCTGGGGGTGGCCTTGCCACAGACCCAGCTGACTTGCTCTTTCCTAGATAGTCTGGCCTTTGCTCACCAAGGGGAAAGTCTGAGTGTCTGATCTCAAAGCATGAATGCCTGCAGGGCCCTGCCCAGTTGAGAGGAACTGTGCTTTCTGTCCTTGGAGATGGCTGGCAGGAGGGCGTTGGGGGTCCATAGCCCCCTCTACGTTGTCCCCCTTCTGTCCCCTGACCCTTGCTCACAGGGAAGAGACCCTGCAGAGGGATCTTATGGCTGGAGCCTGGGCCTGGTTGTTTTCTAGGGCCAGGGAGGCCCGACTTGGTCCTGGCTCCATTCACCGGCCCTCCTCCCTGCCGTGCCTCTGCCCTGCAGGAAGGAGGGATCTGGGAGCCTTGGTCATGGTGTATTGGTAAGCCTGGCAGTACATCTCATTTCTCCCTGTCCCGTCTCGTTTCTCAGCGAACTTCTGCAGGGTGAAGCCCAGGTCAGCAAGGTGGCCTCGTGCCCCAGGGTGCCACCTGCCCCCCTTGGTGTTGGCACCAGTATCCAGTGGTCCCAGAGTCTCGGGTCCGCCGATGGGGACGCCCTGCATGTGTGGGGTCGCAGGGCTCAGCCCGGGGTGGGAGGCTGTGGGAGGGGCGGGGCCTGCCGCCTTACCTGAGGCTCCGGAGTGGCCGTTCAGCCCCCGCACCGAGGAGCTGTTCTCCAGCCTCTCTGGGTGGAACGTGTCTGACTTGGCCCCGTAGGCCCGGCCGCCGCCACCGGCTGCCACCAGCAGGGGCACTGGCACCCCATCCTTCATCTGGGGGAGACACGGGAGGTGGAGAAACCTGTGCTCCCTGGAGACCCCGGCCCCAGAGGTGGGGGATGCTTGAGCCTGACAGGTGCTTGCGGGGTGGTGGGGAGACCTGGCGCCCTCTCAGTGGTCTCAGGGGCCAAGGGCTCTGAACTCGTGTTAAACAACCACCAGCTCCTCCATCAGGCCCCACCAGAGAGGCAAAGCCCCTGGGGGACTTGTGTATACATGTCTCTACCGGGAGGTGGGCTAGTCTCAGGGGCTACCCGCAGCTCCCCAGAAGCCCGCTAGACCAGCTCCGGAAGCCTAGAGGTGGTGAGGAGTGGTCTATCTGTTCCCTCTCCTCACCCCACTTCTAGGGATCTTGGGCTCTGATCCCCACAAGTTCAAGATGAAGCCTCACATTGCCGTCCCATGGGGGGACCTAGCAGGAAGCTCTGCCTTCATGTCTGGCCTGGCTGCAGAGATGCCAGGGAGCTGGCCCTGGAGGTGTGGGGGCCTTTGGAGCCCTGAGGAAGGACGGCAAAGGCTCTGTGTGGTAGCAGTGGGATGGTGAGGCTGCCAGTGAGAAGCCCACCCTTACTGGACAGACAGACCCCCATCCCTCACTTTGTTCATCTTTACTTTTTTGGTTATTTATTTATCATGTATTATTTATTTTTACATGGGGCCTCACACTGTCACCCAGGCTGGAGTGCAGTGGCACACTTATGGCCACCTCGACCTGCTGGGCTCAGGTGATCCTCCCTCCTCAGCCTTCCAAGTAGCTGAGATGGCAGGTGTGCACCACCATGCCCAGATAATTCTTTTTTTGTAGAGATGAGGTCTTGCTATGTTGCCCATGCTGGTCTCAAACTCCTGGGTTCAAGCCATCCTTTCATCTCTGCCTCCCAAGGTGCTGGAATGACAGGCGTGAGCCACTGTGCCTGGTTGGTCTACTCATCTCTAAGTTGGGGTGGGGGGCTCTGAGGTGCTTCTAGTCCAGGCTGGGAGCTCCCGTGCCCTGGTGCACAGAGACCCTGCCCTTAGCGTCTGGCAGCTCCCGCCTCACCTGAAAGACGTAGGTGGCTCCGCCCCCACCGCCGCCTCCGCCCGCCCACTCGTGCACACTCCCGTTCGCATGGATTTCTTCCTCTATCACGTTGTTCTCGCCGATGCAGACTTTCTGGATCAGCTGGTTTGTCTGGAGAAACACAAGGCGTATCAGGGTTCCCCGCCCCCACCAGACATGAGTTCGATGCTTACAAACAGGACCCGACTGTCTCTCAGGCTGATTCAAGGTGGCAGAACACATCCGCGGTGACTGTCACTCAGCAGCACTAGGGAGGGACCACGAGGCCAGCTGAGAAAACGCCATGAGAGGCGGGGAGAGAGTGCGCCAGGGTTGCCCGCAGGAGGCTGTCTTAGGGTGGGTCGTTCCCAGAGGAGAGGGAACAGCTGGGTGGGGCCTCTGGCTATGAAAGCCCATCTCAGGGCCCCGTGGGTCCTGTGGGGCAAGGGGACCCCAGGAGGAAGGACAAAGACCCTGTGTGCTGAGAGGTGGCTGGAGCTGCCAAGTTAGGGTGGGTGACCAGCCTCCGAGCCTCCAGTGTGGGGTGGAAAGGAGGACACTGCCGGCTGTCATGGTGTCTACCAGACAGCACAGGTAAGGGGTCGAGGATGGTGCCCATGCACGGTGGGAACAGAACATATGGTTGCTATCATCCCATGTGGCATCGCTTCTGGGCCCACCAATGTGCCAGCGGGGCACAAGTGTGCCAGATGTCTGAGTCTCCCAGGATCGTGTTGGAAACGTCTCCAACAGGGTACCCTGGAATCTCTGGCGGAGGAGGGCGGTGCTTCAGAACAGCCACACCTGCTTGTCCCCAGCCATGGCCACCACGGCGGCCACGGCTGTGACCATTCCTCCAGATAGCACCTTGGTCTCTGAGAAAGTGATTTTTCTCTGACTTCGTGGAAAGGAAGCCGACGGACACTGCGTTTTCACCCATGCCGCTGTGTAACCACCAGTGGACTTGGCGGTCCATCCCAAACATGCCTCACACAAATGCACTCAGGGCACAGCTGTGGGGACCAGAGAAACTTCCAGATAAGTAGCTGAGATGCAATTGGCTTGATGGCATCTTGGACTTGATGGAAACGATTCGATATTTCCTGGCGTGGATTTAGTGGGTGGGGGGCTCTGAGTGACTTCTGAGAGAGCTGTCATTGTCCCATGTGTGCTGCCGGTCCTGGGTGGAGACACTCCAGGGAGGAAAGCTTGCTGATGGCCAACTGGTGGGGTGGGCGCAGGGGGGAGGTCTGAGGTGAAGAGTGTGTACTGTCAGCAGGACAGACACCTGCCATAGGGACCAGGTGGATTCTTGATGCCTCGGCCAGAGATTTGCTGGGTCATGGCTGAAAGACCCCTCTTTACCTCCCCGGACTCACCTCCTCATCTGTAGATCAAGAGACTGCCAGGCTGGGCCAGTGGGGCCGACAAGGTCCACTCCAGACCCTAGCCCTAACCCCCAACGCTGACCTTAATCCCCCAAGACTCTAACCATAACTTGACATAACCCTGACCACAATCCTAATCCTAACGCAAATTCCCAACCTTAGACCATTAACCCCTAACCCAATCCCAACTCCAATCCTAACACTAACCCGAACTCTACCCTAACCCCAGCACTTATCCCCAGCCCTGGCCTTAAGCCCCTGGACCCCAGTCCTAATGCTAACCCCAACCTTTTCCTCCTCTTCCCTGGGAGGCAGCGGTGGGCCTCCACCCCTGAGGGACGCTGTCATCCTGTGAACAGATTCTGGAGGTTTCTGGGGTTTCTGGTAACCAGAGCTGGACCCATGGCTGTTTCATCTCTCCCGAGAGTCTTCTTTCACCTGTGAGACAGGGCGCTGGACACTGCACCTGGCTGGGCCTCCAGGGTATCAGGCAGAGCTGATGGACTTCTCACCCCTGTCCCACTCCCTCCCTGGCTCCCCTGCTCCAGCCTCCTTTGCTGTCTCTTCTGTTCCCTGTCCTCTCAGTGCTGGGATCCCTGGGCTCGGTCCCTGGTCTTCCTCCCTCTCTGCCCTGTGCCCAGGCCCCTTCTCTCTGTCTCAGCTCCCCACGGAGTTCCCAAATGGACCCCTCCCTGGTCTCTCCAGAATGCCAGCCATGTGTCTCTGGCATCCCGTCTCTGTCTGGCTGCTCACCAGCCTCGATAACCCGGAGCGCCTTGCCCCCACGTTTGCTCCCTCCATAGTGGTCCCCACCCAGGTGGGGGTAGATCCCTTTTCCCAGGGACCCAGGTACCCTTTTGGGGGTCATCCTTGATGCTGTTCTTCTCTCAGTTCCTCATCTGACCTGGCAGGAAATGTCTTTGGGCTCTGCAGTCCAGAGATGCCCAGCGTTCCCCAGCTTCACCGCCTCTACCGACAGTGTCCTGGTCTAAGCCACAGTCGTCTCTTGCCAGGATCACACAGGAACCTCAAACCCTCTGTCCTGACTCTTCCCTGTGCCCATGGGGGCTACTTCTCATACTGCAGCCAGGTGGGCTCTTTTACTTTTATTTATTAATTCTTTTAAGAGATGGGGTCTCACCTTGTCGCCCAGGCTGCAGTGCAGTGGTGGGATCAAGGCTCACTGCAGCCTTGGCCTCCTGAGCTCCAGCAATCCTCCCAAGTAGCGGGAACCACAGGCAACACCGTGCCTGGCCCAGAACGAGCCTTTTACTGCATGCTTGTGTTCCCTCACTCCCTGGCTCAGAACGCTCCCACGGCCCACTCATGCCCTGCAGTGGCCAGATCCAGCCCTCGTGCCTTTGACCTCGCCTTGCACCCCCCCTTCCTTCTGCTCCCTCTGCTCCATCATACCTGTCCCCCAGGTATGGACACACACCCACCATGGGGACCCGGCCTTTGCAGGGGCCTTTCTTTCCCCAGACGTTTCCCTCCCTCCCCGCCTGGGCTCTTGAGAGCAAAACTCTGTGCTTTGTCATGGATCTGCCTCCAGTTCCCACAGCAGTGTCTGTACATGGCGGGTGTGCGGTCAGCACTTGGGCACATCAGCGTAGGTGGAACATGTCTGGGCAGTGGGCGGCCCCTGACGGTGGTGGACATGGCAGGCTTGACATGGAGACCAATGATGAGCTAAGGGTATTTGGCAATGTCTGAGGCATACTTGATTGTCATTGCTGGGATGTCATTGGCAAAAGGTAGAGAGGACAGGGATGAACACTCTGCAGGGCACAGGACAGCCGCTGCCTGGCCACAGAATGATCGGCTCCCACATGCCAGTGGTGCCATGGAGTGGAGCCCCAGTGTAGACTCCTGCCGCCAGGTGAGGCTTGGAAGTGCTGGGAAGCCAAGGCTGAGGGTACGTGCATGCATGTGTGTGTGTGCAGACGTGTGTGTATGTGCTCATGTGTGGGTGTGGCATGCACGTATGGTATGTGCACGTGTGTGTACATGCATGTGGTGCGTGCACACACATGTGTGGTGTGTGGGTGTGCATGTGTGCGGCTTGCGTGTATAGTGTGTGCACATGACACACCTGTGTGCACATGTGTGTATGTGCATGTGTGTGGTGTGTGTATAGTATGTGGTGTGTGCATGTGCACATGTGTAGTGTGTGGGTGAGCATGTATGTAGTGTGTGTGGTGTTATGCATGTGTGTGCGCTATGCATGTGTGCCTGTTGTGTGTATGGTGTGGTGTGTGCATGTGTGTGTGGGAGGTAGGCTCTTCAGCAGGTGAGCCCACTACCGCGGAATGGAGGTGTGGCAGGTGCAGAGAAGGCACCCTGCACGTGACCTGAGCCAGCAGCGCCCCCACGTCCCGAGTTGCCCTGAGAGCCACTTTGCCTCCTGAATTGTCTCATGACCTCCCTTCTGCCAGGGAGACCTGGGGAAGAGCCGGCCTTCTCTGCCCCTTCCCGGATTGGGTTCCCGGGCTGGAGTGGTCTGCAAGGGGAGTCCACACAGGCCACAGGCTCTGCTGAGTGGCCTGGCTGGGGGTGGCCACCTGGAGTCCCTGGCTGAGAGCCACTCCTGCTGCCTTGAAGCCCATGGCCAGAGTCTGGGTCCCGCACAGGTGAGTGAACAGAAAGACAAGCTCACCAGCTCCGGGGCCCCCGCAGGTCACAACTCAGTGAGGGCGCCAGACCAACTGACCACCGCCCCGCTGCGCAGACGCCCTTGTAGGAGCCACGCAGGCTCTGCTGAGATGAGGAGCTGCAGGAGTTCCAGCTCCTTCCTGCGACCATCGCGGCCGCCTGTGGAGTCATGACTTAACGCCTCACGTGAGGTCGGACAGGCCTGACTCCAGTCACTGCAGGAGTTGGAGCAGAGACACTTCTCACACAGAAGCTTGCTCCTATTGGGCTGCCCCATTGCCTCATCCTAGCCCCGAGGGCAGGAGGGAGGCCAAGCCTCCCCCAGAGAGCTCCTTGTCTCCTGGGCTCTGGCGCAGGCCCGGCTTGTAGGAGCTTTGGGCGTTTTGTGGACCGGAGCCGCCTTCTGGCCACCGTTCTTGTCTGTGTTCTCCGAAGCTGCTCTTGGAGAAGGAACTCAGTTCCCTGCCCCACATACCCGGCAAGTAGGTACCTCAGGTGAGGGTGGGGCCTGGCCCAAGGAGCTGCCCTGCAGGGTGCCCAGCTCTGGGTCCCCCCAGCTCTGCGCGTCCTGCCCAGCGCGGTGCCAGGGTCTGCACAGCTGCATCGCAGCCACCCTTCCCATGTCGCCCTCCCACGGTGAACTTCCAGAAGGGGTGCGGATGTGTGGAGAAGGTCCTGCAGGCACTTACACGGGGGCAGGCGTCCTCGCCCTGCTGCCCGACCAGGATGTACAGCGAGTCGCCCTTCTGCAGCGGGAAGATGCCCAGCACCGACACGCCGTGCGAGCGCACCATGGTGTTCTTCCCGCCTTTCCCGCCGGCGGCCCCATAGCCAGAGATGCTGCAACAAGACAGACCACGTTGGCTCCCACCTCCCAGGAAGACTCCCTCCGCCCCAGGCCAGTGGCTTCTGTGGGAGCCCAGTCGCATGGGGCTGGGGGTTCTCACACACGTCGGCCCTGTGGGACCAGCAGGGCAGGAGTCCCCTCCCCACTACCAGGAGAGGACAGTCACGTTGAGAGGGGCAGGGAGTTGCCTCAGACACTGAGAAACATGAGGACTGGTAAGGGGTGCGAGAGAGAAAGAGAGGAAGGGAGGGAGGGAAGGAAGAAGACACAGAGTGAGAGGGAGGGAAGGAGGGAAGGAGGGGGAGACACGGTGGGGGAGAAGAGAGGGAGGGAGAGAAAAAAGGAAGGTGACAGAGACAGGGAGGGAGGAGGAGGGAGATGCAGGGGGGAGAGTGAGAGGGAATGAAAAAGGGAGGGAGGGAGGGAGACAGGGAGACAGGGAGGGAGGGAGGAGGGGAGACACACAGTGGGAGGGAGGGAAGGCATAGTAGCAGCTGATGTGGGGTGGGCTCGAAGCCTCCTGCAGTCTAGACTCAAGGAGGTGCCATATGGATCACAGGGCGCACACCCTGTGCAGAGCCCTGACCTCTTCCCGTCCACCAGCGACTCATGCCAGAGCCTTCTGTTCTTTATGGGGAAGGCTCGCTGCAGGGGAGCAGAGGGGGCTCTGAGGCTCCCTTGGGTGTCTCCTGCCTTGTGATCCCCTTCTCCTCTCATTCGGCCTGGCACTTCACCCAAAGGCGGCGGTGGTGAGGGCCCTAGGACGTGGCAGTCCTGCCCAGAGGAGGGTGTCGGGCATGCAGGGTCAGGAAGGGCAGCACCGCGACGGTGAAATGGGCATGGAGTGGGTGTGCGGGGCCGACTCAAGTTGATGGGATCTCGGGCAAGCAGGAGGAGGTGGCGGGCGTCCAGCTTGAGGGGAGGAGGCAGCGGGAGTCTCTGGGCGGCGGGGCTGCAAGGCCGGGCTGAAACCTTGGAGAGGGATGCAGGAGGTGACCGGGTGTCTACCCCTGTGCCAGCCGGGAAGCTGCTCATGTCCATGGCGCCTTGATAACCACAGACCGCACACACTCTCACTTCCCTTGACCGAGGAGCAAATCGAGGCTCAGTCAGAGTACACTATTTCAGATACTGTCTGCTCCTGATGCATCTCTTCCTCTGTTATTTCTGCTGCTCTGGACTGAACCTGAGGGCCCACCCTGTGTATGTCTGGACCAGCTCCTGGCAGCCTGGGAGGTGGACAGGGCCTTGAGCTGCACTGCCCATGCTGGTTCCCATCCTTGCTCTGTGGGCTGTGTGATGCGAGGCAGCTCGGTCAGTGTCTCAGAGTCTTGGGGAAAGTGAGGATGAGGATTCCTGCCCTGGGCACAAAAGGGGGTTTGTAAAGAGAAACACTGGGCAGAGTACAGGTGGAACTCTGGGCTGGGTCAGCTCCACGGACCCCAAAGTAGACAGTAGAGCTGAGAAGTGCTGGCTGTGGCCGGCTGGGTCCTCCTGGGTGGCAGCCTCAGTCCCCAGCTCCAGCCTGACTAATGGCTTCCACCCTAAGGCTGGAAGTTCACCATTAGAACTTCACTTCTTTGGAAGCTTCTAGTCGCTGCTGCAAGACTGCTTTCCTTGGGAGGGGGTGCCGCCCTGAGGAAGGCAAGGATGAGATACAGGCAGACCCCAAGCCACAACCCCCTATGACCTGGCCAGTACAGGCAAGGCTGCAGGAGCCTCCCTCCCCAGCCTGACCCCACACTTGCGGCCTGAGAGCAGGCACCCCCTCTCAGTTTGTGCCCCTAGTGCCTGGCCTCTGACCCCTGGCCCCGGCCCTGCCAGAGTTGCTCACTAGCTGTATGAACACAGCCCGCTGGGTAGGGGCTGGCAGCCCTCTCTTACAGATGGGGACAACAACTCAGCCATGTCCACAACCTGGGCAGGACTGGAGTGGCCTGACCCTCTGGGTCTTGGAGATGCAGCCTGAAAGGACCGTCCGAGGTGTCTTCTGGCAGCTTGTTTCTCTCCAAGGGGCAGGAGGCAGGGGAACTCTGGACACGCTGGGCTTGGAGCTGTCCGGAGCTGGGATGCCACAGTGGGTTCTGCTGGGGGCTCTCTCAGGGGCTTGCTGTTCGGGCTTTGTGGGAAGTACGCATGTTGGGGCTCTGTTGGGCTCTGCTGGGTGTTTATTGGGTGCTATCTTGGGTCTCTGTTGGGGGATCTGTCAGGCCTCTGTGGGGGTTCTCGGGGGGCTCTGTTGGGGGTTCTGTCAGGGCTCTGTTGGGTGCTTTTTCGGGGTATCTGTCAGGATCTTTCTCTCAGGGCTCTGTGCATCTCATAGCTCCTCTGATTTCTTCCACTTCTTTTTGTGTGGGGTTTTTCTGGCCCCTCTCAGGGTCTTCCCCCCAGGCTCTCATTTCCAGAGGCTTCCGAGAGATGGGTGGTGATGACGCCCATGCCTCTCTCCTATCCTGTCCCCCCCCGCCTCTGTGTCCTCCCACAGCCTGAGTGTGGTCTTGATTGAGAAGACTCTAAGCCAGAGGGGCCTGGGTTTAAATCTCCCCCACCTCTGCCACCAGAGTGCAGCCTTCAGTGTGCTGATAAGCGCCTTTGACTCCAGTGTTCTCCCATGGAAACTGGGACTGCCAATGATAATGCCACCCCTCACTGCAGGAGCGGCCCCCGGCGCCCTGCCAAGCATCACCCGGCCCCTCCCCCAGGACCTGCAGAATCTCCGAGGGGCAGAGGCCAGGCACTCCATGTGGGGGTCCAGGGAGGCCGGTGTTCTCTGCATGTTCTCTGTGGGCCATGGAGCAGCTAACGCTATAGTGTTCCCACCCAGAGTGTCATTTAGAAAGCACTTAGGGCTCTCCCCGTGTACATCACTCCGAGGCCCCAGGGATGGGCTGGAGAGAAAGTAGGGTGACTGGAGAAGCCCCTTCCCTCCCAGGGGGCTGTGGGAGAGGGAGGAGAGCAGCCCTCCACGGGTTCAACCCGGGGGTGGTAGCCAGCATTTGCACCAGTGGGGTACAGAGCTACAGGCTGGTGGAGAGGTGGCCAAGGTCCCACCGCAGGAGTCTGGGGTTGGAGGTCAACTCTGGGTGTGAGACTGTGGGGAGGCGCCTGACACTCCACTCTGAGCCTCAGTTTCCTTATTTGCCTTTTTTTTAGAGACAGGGTCCCAGGCTGGAGTGCAGTGGTGTGATCGCAGCTCACTGCAGCCTCGAATTCCCAGGCTCGAGTGATCTTCCCTTCTCAGCCTCCCGAGTGCAACAACGCCCAGTTAATTTCTTTTAATTTTTTTTTTTTTTGGTAAAAACAGGGTCTCACTAAGTTGCTCAGACTGGTCTCCAACTCCTGGCCTCAAGTGACCCTCCTGCCTTGGCCTCCTTGCACGATGGGATTATAGGCTTGAGCTACCATGCCCGGCCAGTTTCCTCCTTTGTAAAATGAGGCTGGCAGCATGGGCCTTGCTGGTGGGAACTGGTGGCTGGGCTCCTCGGGCCTCTGAAAGTTCAGGGCTGGATGAAATCAGCGGTTCACTTGGGGCGCTGGTCTTACACCCAGGGTTTCACCGGCCCTCCGGTCCTGCCATTGGCTTCACTCTGTGCCACGGCCTCAACCTGGCCACAAGGGGCTGGGGCACCTTTGGCCTGGCCCTGCATTGGTAGGCTCCTGTGGGTGGGCAGGGACTAGCCTTCCGGAACAGCTCACTCAGCTTGGGAACAGGGAAGACCGGAAACGAGGCTCAAGGATAAGAACATCGACCTCCATGTGCACCATTCTGTTCCCAGGCTTGTCACCTGCACTGCTTGGCCTGCCGGCATCAAGTCACATGCAGCAACCCACCATCACTAACCTCAGACAGTGTCTCTGAAGCTCGCCCAGTATACATGCTACCTCCAGCATCAGACACGCACATCACCTCCACCATCAGACATGCATTTCCCTCCACTCACAGTCTGTGAGCTCATGGAGCACAAAGGACACCCCTTCCTTCATTGCCACTTGTTGCTCTCCCACATCTCTCCCACCCGGCCCTTGTACCCCACCAGGGCGGAGTCTGGCCGCTGACCCCGGGGCATGCTGGGTGTCCCAAGGCCTCCACCTGCAGGCAGGCTCCAGTCTCCTCGGGAGAGTGGCCTGCCCTGTCTCCCCCCGTACGCACCTGTAGGTGTCGGTGGCCGGGACCCTCCAGATCTGGACGCCCCGCAGGGGGCCCTCGCCGCCCACCCGCACGCTCAGGTTGGAGTTCCGGTAGGCGTTGTTGCACTGTGCTTGCGTGGGGCCGTGAGGCCCACTGGCCCCGCACGTGGTGAACAGCCAGTGAGCTGCGGCACAAGAGGAGAGGCGTCACGTGGCTGGCCCGCCCCACAGTCCCCCGGAGCTTGCGAGACACCTGCTTTGTGGCCCCAAACCTCTGCCCAAGGTGGCACCAAGGTCGGGGCAGGCAACGCCCGCCATCATTCAAGCCCAAAGCTCTGTGGAGAGCCTGGCACATGTCGGGCCAGGGTAAGACGCCAGGCAGAGACAGAGACCACGCAGAGCTGGTCCCGGCCCTGCTAAGCCTCCAGTTGCTGAGAGACCAAAGGGACGCCCCCACGACCACATGGTGGGCCATGGAAGGTCCTGTGAACACTGTCTCCAGGAGTCCTGTGAGGGAGAGGAACCCTTGCAGAGACAGGCACCGTACCCCACCGGTGGCCAGCACAGTGCTGGGAAAACAACAGGTGCTCACTCTGTGCTCTCATGACTGCAACTAGCCTGCTCCCAGATTCTTGGCCACTGCACAGGGGAGCCCTTAGCTTGGAGACGGCCGAGAGTGAATTGGACACTGGCTTCTGGCTTCTGGCGCCATAGTGGGGGCGATATGCATGCTTGATGGTAGAGGCCCAGGCATGCCTAGGCCACCCCAACAGGCCGGGCTCCCTCCAGGAGGTGATATGTATCCAGGGCCATGGTGTTGGACAGTGCGACAGAAGCCGCTCACGGGCCCTCTGTGCAACAGAGAACAGGAAAGGTGGGACATAGGCCAAAGCTGTCTTTGGTGCGTGGCCCCATCCCCCTCTCCCCCCACCCCGGCTGTGTCCCCAGTGTCCTCGGAGACCTCTCAGTACAGGCCCCCCTCCCAGCCCACCCCAGCAGCCATGGGCTCCAACTTCCTGTCTCCGAGCCAGTCCAGGCCTGGGGGAGCCATCTGGTCTCGCATTGACCAGAATTCTAACATTTTTATACCTACAAGAACTTTGAAAAAATGTGTTCTTGATAAATTACTTTGACTTAAAATACAAAAGTCTCATGATACGATGATGGAAATGATTTTCCTTAAAAGAGATTAAGTGCAGTTCTATCTACAGAGGAGGGTGGAAACACTGATTTGGGTGTACAGAGCTTGGTTCACCAAGACATTGACATGTGCCATTTGTTTTGAAGACTTTGAATGCTGCAAACATGAAAGCTTAGTTTAGGCTGCCAGTTGTAAATAATAGATCAAGATTGCGCCAGGCAGCGGGGTCATCTTTGTTGAGGTCTGACCCACTGCCACGACCCCGGGACAGAGGTTCTGGCTGATTCCGGGGGATAAGCCACGCAGCACTGAGTCCCTTCCTGGGCTCCTGTTTTTTTCAAATGGAGATGTTGATTTCTACTTGGTTTCTGAAGGTCATTCCAAGGGCTAGGAGGTGATGACACCCTCAGAGTGATGGTGGGAATGACTGGCTGCTAGTTTTCTGGTCCATTTGTATTACACAGGGAGCAAACCCGATGCCTTATGAAAGCAAAAAGGAACTGCTTTAGCTCATTGCTACAACACACACTGGAAACACAGCCTAATACTCACATCTTCATTGTGTGAAGAACCCAGGGACATCAGAATCCTGAGGGGATCCAGACCGCTGGGCAAGGAGGAATCCATTAAGCCCTGGGTTTCACATCAAGCCTACTCCAGTACCCTCCCACAAGAAACATGTCAATTAGCAATAACCAGTACAGTGCTGCAAACAGGCCAGACGGGGTGCGTGATGGCTCATCCCAGCTGCTGGGCCATCTCCTCTGCTCAACGTAATGCAAAGAGATGAAGCTTCATGCGCAGAAAAGCCAGTTGCAGCTGTCACGCTCCATCATGGCAACACGGCCCTGCCTTGTGGTGCAGGCTCACTTGTGTCGCCTGTGCTGTTCCGTGCTCAGCCATCGTGCTGGATTTCATCCATGAACGAACCTTCGTGGGAGCCAGGACACACATGAATGGGCCCCCCAGATCCCATTAAATGACAATCATGGCTGGAATCAAAGTAAATAGCATCACTCATTCACCCATCCACAAATGTGGGTGACACCATTCTTTATTATTCATGGAAAAAAGTGACCTTTCTTTTGCATGCATGACAAAAACTAGTTGTTCTCTTATTAGGGCAAAATGGAAAGAAGGCATGCATTGTAGCCATTGCAGGGTTTAAGCATTTCTATTAATGCAATGGTGAAACAGAGCAATGCCCTGTTCTGATAGACAGTCACCCCAAGACTGCACCATGGTGACCTGGGCAGCTCATCAGCCGCCAAAGAGAAACTGGGATTAGACCACCTGGTATGTATTACTATAACGAGTGTTTTTGTTTTTAAAAGACCTGGCTTATTCCTTTGACGTATTACAAGTGCAAAAAAACTAGGCAAACACTTGGCTAAGCGTTCACTAACGAATTACAGGGTTCATTCTGTCTAATAACATGACAGCATGATACCCCTTAACAAGGAGAAGAAAATTAAGCCTTTGTGTTTCAAAATAAAGCACAGATATAGAAAAGCGCATAAAGCCAAAGTAGACTTCATGAGCAATTATAAGGCAAACAGGACTTGGCAGACCCTTCCGTGTGCCCGAAAGGAACCGGCAGCCAGGCATGTTATGAGAAAACTTCTTGGAATTTTTCAGCAGTTTTGCCACCCAAGTGTGCATCATCCCTGGGTGCTGTTGCTTAGTCTTGTCCATTCAATTTTATTTTTAAATTGTTTTTGAAAAACTCTGCAGAACCCTTCACTCCTTCCTTATTTTTTGAAGTGTCCAGCCATTGGCCTGCGCCATTGCCTGTTTGCTGGAGCTGGGACGTTGCTGACTGCTTCCCCACGGCGGTATCTGTTTGCTCCTCTGTCCTGCAAATCACCAGCCAGATCCTTTGCAAGATTTGGGTTGGTGTTTTGCATCAGATACTCACCACCTGGGAACAGCTCTCTGCTTTGTGTTAGCACTCACGGAAGCTCAAAGCCCAGGTCCCTTTATGAAGGAGGAGTAGCCAGGTCTCTGCTTCTTTCCGATCCTTACTCTTCTTTCTCACTTCTTAGTTGGAAGATGTTTATAAGGATGGGCTACCCCACTCGTGACTCAGGTACTCAGTGGTCCAGTTCAAGTTGCAAAGGCAGGATACACGTTGGCTCCCTCCGTGTGTGCGGCTTTCTGGAGACTGAACTGGCCCTCAGCATCCTCTGCAGTTATGTGTTTGTAGAGCAGTATGAGTTCATGAATTCAAATATGCTTTTGAGTTTTAATTAATCTCCGTTATTATCCTTTGGAAGCTCTAATGATCACATCTCTGGTCAGTGGTGGCCCCCTGAGTCCTGTTGGCATGGCCCCTGTAGACACTTAAAACTTCCTTGCTGTGTGCTATGGCAACATCTTTCTTCTCCACACCTGAACTCGGCCACTTTCTCAAAGCCCTTGTTTCTTTGAGAGGGAAAAGGTATAGGAAGTCCCCAACATACAAACAAGTTCTGTTCTGAGGTCACGTTTAAGCCCAATTTGTTGTAAATCCAACAAAGTAAGCCTAGGTACCTGACAAACATAATTGGCTATACAGTAGTATATGCATTAACAGACCATACTGGCACCCAGTGGAGAGAAATAATACATGAAAAATGCAAGTGTGCATCGTTAAAGTTTGTAACTTGAAGGTTTGTATGTAGGGGACTTACTGTGTTTTGAGTATATGATCTGGGTGCTCTGGAAGCTTTTTGCTACTGGGTTAGGTGATTGTTTCTAGTCTTCTTTAGTAAAGAGAGCTAGGAAATAGATATGTGCAGGTATGTAAATCAGAACAAACTTGCGTCTGTGAAATGCACATATATGTGCATATGACATATGTTTTCTGAGTTCATCTGGACATTTAGGTTAAAAGCCCTGTGGTCCTGAGTTTGAACATGGTCAAACTAAGGACCACAGGGCTTTTAACCTAAATTCTTCTGCATTATATCTGTGTTTCTTTTTCTGCACTGAGAATCATGTCTCTCAAGACCACATGTGAAAATGGAATTGGGGTGTTCTGCAATGACTCATCTACTTGATGTTTCCTTATAGACACAATGGTATCAGAGTAGCAATCCTTCCACATTTCCCTCCATTGCTAAGACACACTGTGAGAGCATAGTAGCAATAATTGCACAGGGTGAGCTGCGGGGGGTGGGCAGCACCTGGGTGGCCCTAAGGGTCCTATCCTGGGTGTGGTGCCTGCCATCCCTGAAGGACGGTCCTCCCTGTTGGAGCGGGCACAACAGAGGGGCCTTCAAGGGCACCGCTGAGGGCTGGGTGACACACATGCTAGCCAGCTGCAATGGTCGTTCTCTCCACTTGGGCTATGCTTCCAGCCTGGGGGCCATCTTGAATGTCACTGGAGGTGCAGGTGTGCTCTGTTTTGGCAAGACTGACACAGGCAGCAGGGTTGGTCCTCTGAAGGCCTCCTTAGCATGGAATTCCTGAAGGTTTATCACAGCGTGGCCATCCCAATGTCATCCGCTGAGAAAATGGTACTTTCTGTGCATTCTTAAGAAATATGTTCTTTAGCCTTTTATGTAAGTTGTGTAACTTAGGGTAAGTGGCTTAGCCTCTCTGGATCTTCATTTCATTCTCTGTGGAAGGGGGATACTGTCATGGGACCAGCAGATAGGAGAACGCACCATGTGAGGAGGGGACACATGACACAGGGTGTCTGGGAGATGGACCTTGGAAGACGCCGTGTGCTCTGAGCCCCGCTTCACCTGCCCTAGGCTGGGCTCCACACCCATAAAGTGTAGGCCGGCTGCAGTCCAGCTTCCTAACTTTCAGACTTTCCTTCAGGGCTTGTTGAAGATGTGGATTCTGACCTCAGATGCCACAGAGCTGCAGGGACCCGGAATCTGCATTTTAACAAACAGCACCGGCAGAGTCTTCCAGGTGACCCAAATGTGGATGCCTTGAGGACACACTTGGAGGCATCTGGTTCCCAAACTGGCTGACGGGCTCGGCTGCCCCGGGGAGTTCCAGCTGGGTATTTCTGGGAGAGCCATTAAAGGCATAACTCACCCAAGAGTCTGATCCGAGGCCCTCTCGAGGGGGTGGGCTCCCTGGCCTCCTCCCTGACTTTTCTTTTGACTTCTCACGTCTTAGGAGCTCCCAGCTCCGAAATGGACACACACTGACAGGCTGAGGCTCAAGAAGGGTCCTGGCTTCCTCCACCCCAGCCTGGCCCAGGGTGTCCGTGAGGCCAGAACGGGGGAGGCTGGCATGTTTGGAACTGGATTAGGACATGTTGTTTATTTAGGAACGGAGTGGCCTGAGGAGGGCAGGGCTTTCACTGCGGGGCTGTCACTGCCGTGGGCATGGCTGGGTCTGTGGGGCCTAAGTAACAGACTCCGAGTAAAGAGAGACCCCCACGGGGGAAAGGCAGGCTCTGGGGGGCTGGAAGCTGCCTTCCCACAATGCCATTGTCCCCAGAAGGGTTTGGAAAACAGTGGCCGCCGTTCTAGGTTCCATGAACTTTACTAGTTCCGTGGCAAATAAATAATGCCTTTAGAAGAAAAAGACCTATCAGTTCATAGGCAACATATACAGCCCACTCACTGGCACTGGCACCTGCCAGTGATTCAGGAGGTGTGCAGAGAGGGCTGTGGATCACATGTACCTCTGGGCGCCCTGGCAGCATGGGGTGAGTGGGACAGACGGGCCTGTAAAGCCCTGACATCTGACACCCGCAGTCCCTGCCCGGGAACAATGGAGGCGTGAGGGAACAGGACTGGGACTTGGACAAGTCTCCTTCAACCTGACTTTTCACCTATTACAATTTCTCTGTCTTCCCCATCCACGGGTGCCATCAAGGAGGGTTTGCGACTGTCCCCGGAGGGGATGCCGGGCAGAGGCAGGATGGCCCCGGGGGCAGCAACTCCTGTCCAGCCGGTGTGCGGACACCTGGCCAGTGCCCTTTCCAGGCTCCTGTGTGCTTTCGTTGCTCTTATCCCGCTGTCACCAAGCACTCGGGCCAGGCTGTGGTTTTCAAGTCAAGGTGCCACAAGGGTGACTGGTTCCCTTGGCCCTCCCTGCGCGGCACCGGAGCTCCCAGGAGGAGAGAGGAGGAGGTAAGTCCTGGGCCCTGGGGCCGCTTATCCAGGGCTTAGCAGGGAAGGAAGTGGCAGCACCTGCTCTACTCACTCACTGCTAGTCTGTGTTCCTATGGTGGGAGAAGGTGGAGGCGGGGTTGGGGGCAGGTGGAGGTGGGGGGAGGCAGAGATGGGGAGAGGGAGATGGGGGGAGGTTGAGGTAGGTGGAGGAGAAGGTGGAGAGGTGGGGGTGGGGGGAGGTGGAGGTGTTGTAGACAGAGGTAGGGGGAGGTGAAGAGGAGGCTGGGCTCTGCAGCCCTGATTGCATTATCCCACCATTTGGTTGGCGTAGTTGTGTGTGCAAAGCTGACAAGTGTAGTCTTCCCTGAACTTGACCGTGGCCCTATGTTCTCCCTCCGTGTCTTCATCTGATCAGCGACACAACTTAGAGGCTTCCGGGAAGGCTGCACCAGGCCGCTGGACCAGACTGTTCCTGCCAGCGGAGGCTCTCAGGAAGTGGAGGCTGGGGACACCCAGGGCAGCTGGGAGGTGTGGGGAGTGTTTTCAAGAGACCCACGGCCCCCGCATGTCTAAGTTCCAATACCAGCTGGGAGGAGTGTGGAATGCCACCTTCCCCACCAACACGGGCAGCCCTGAATTTGGGAAAGAAAATCTGACTCTGGCGTCTCCTTGACTGTCCAAGGTTGGAGGCTGGTTTGCTTGGGGTTTGGGCAGGAAGCCTCCTTCCGCCTCTTCTGTTTCCGGGTTTGTCTGACAGAGGTCCTTGTGCTAGAAACAGTTTAGTTGGGTGAAAGGGTGTAGATGCCCCATAGCTGCAGATTCATCTTCCTCGTCCCTACTGTGGCATCGGTCTCTGGCCCGTGTGAAACACCCTCGCCCACGCCAGGTGTGCTCGGTAACTGTCCCTCCCCTCCCCTCCCCATCCCTCCATCCTGTTCAGGGCCTCCTTAGTGGAAGCTCTAAGCTTGGGTTTGCAGTCACGCCCTGCTGGGTCACAGGTCGCCCCTCCCCCAACCAGAAGCTCCTGGGGAGCATCTCTGGGCCAGTCTGGTCCCCGTTGGAGACACTCACAGTCCAGGCACAGGATGGGGCTGGCTGTGCTTGGGGTGGCCGCCAAGTGCTGTGGCCCTGGCCTCTGCTACCACTGTGGCAGGGGTGCTGGTTACTGCGACCACCGTCTCCCCATTGTCCCCTCTTCTAGACGGGGGCTCTCCCCGGCTATACCTCTGGATGCAGAGCTGGGCGTGGAGGACGTGAGTGAGGGCTGTGGGCATCCAGGAGAAAGCTGGACAAAGCTAGGCCCAGGACGGGGCTCAGGGAAAGACTACCCTTTCTTGTAAATCGCCCCCCAGGTACAGAGACCCCCGCCACATACTCTAGAGGCCTCAGCAAGAGAGGAAGGGCCAGCTAAGCCATAATAGGCAGCTCCCTTTCGCTGCTGGGGCCCAGCTTCCCCCTCACTCAGCTGCTCCCTCACCCAGTTGCTCCCTCATCCAGCTTTTCCCTCATCCCAGCTTCTCCCTCACCCCAGCTGCTCCTTTGCCTCAGCTTCTCCCTCACCCCAGCTTCTCCTTCACCCCAGCTGCTCCCTGACGTGGCAATGGGTTCTGGAAGGCACTGCCCTTCACGGTGTCCCACAGCCTAGGGGGGCAGAGGTGGCTTCCCCAGGAATCTTGGGGAGTGGGGGCAGCTCCTGCAGCTGCCCAGGGACATGTTAACCCAGTGTCCCCTTCCCTTGGATCAGTTGCAAAGTGACACAGAACCTTGGCTCGTGGCCACTGGCTGCCTTGCTCCAGGTGGGGATGGGGTGAGGGTAAAGTGCCTCTGGGGAGGTCCGCGGGCCAGCCACTCTCCTCTCTAGCCTCCGGTTTCATCTGAAGGTGGTGGCGGGGACCCCCGGTGATGTCATCAGTCTGGGTGGCCGATGAGCTTCTAGGGACTGTGGAAGGCTGTTTCTCACATGCTGGCGAAGGGCTGGTTACCACGTCTGAGACCCCAGCTCATGCATCCAGCTACCCACCACCAACAGATGCTTCTGGAGTCCCTGCTCAGAATCAGGGTTGGTGGTTGGGCTGGGCAGGTGCTGTGGTTGTGTTTCCTCAGCACGCTAGAGGTATGCAGAAAACTCCAGGAACAACAGACGCTTTGGACCCCAGAGGGAGCCGGGTCAGGGCTGACAAACCTCCCTCGGGGACTGCTCCGTATCTGGGTGACGGGTCCAATGGAAGCCTGAACTCATCTCAAACCATATGCCCACATAACTGGCCTGCACATGCGCCCTCTGGGTTTAAAAAGTAATTCCACAGGAAGTCTGCCTGCTTTCCCGAATTTACATATTTATACTTTTCCTGAGTGTGTGGCGAGAAGGTCCTAGGTGACCAAGAGCCCAGGAGTGGGTGGCAGAGGAGGGTCAGGGCTGGGTGGCATGTAGGGGTGTTGATGAATAGATTGGAAGGCCACCTTTGCCGGGGGGGGCCTTGCTGGGAGTCCAGAGGCCAGTAGAGACCCAGAGAGCTGCAGGTTAGCAGGACAAGCGCTCTCCACGTGGGAAAGCTGAAAGGACTTTGAGTTTCCTTCTGCAGGTGAAGGGAGGGAGGGGAGGGGACAGGGAACAGACAGTGGGCTCCTCAGGCAGGAGCCAGGAAGGGGTGAGTCCTGGGCCGCCTTTCAGGGGACAGAGATCAGACAAACTCACAGCTAGCTGAAGAGTCAGGAGACTATGAACTCGGGCAGAGACACTGCCCTGCACTATATTCACACTTTGCCCTGAATGAGGGTCTTGCGTTGGAAGTTGGAACTCAAGATGGATAGCTGATCTGCTGGTGTTTTGATCATGACTCCTCTTTTTTGGAATGTGTGGGGGGACTGCATTTGTATCAGAACAAGGCTCACGCCCAGGCCAAGGCTTGCTGGGCCCTTTGTTCGCTGGTGCGGGGTCTGGGCTGCCCTCACCGGTTCTCCCAGGCCAGGCTCACAGCCCTGGATCTAACAGTCACCAGGACGCTCATGTTGGCTTCAGATTCTAAGAGCCGTCTCTGCCCCCTTGATAGAAAGTCACACCTGTGGCTTATGGCCAGGCATGCTGCACAGAACAACCTCGAGGGGTCCGAGCTGAGGCAAACTGTGTTGAATGGAGCCTTTGGGGGCCTGACCCAGGTCAGAGTAGCCCGCCTCTGTGCCACAGGTAACCTTGGCCTTGGGTCCAGCCCTCCTTTGAGGCGAGGAGCTCTGACAGCAAGGTTTGCCGTGCTAGTAAGTGAGGAGGGTTTTTGAGTTCAGGAAAGAACCCCCGCGAGGTTCTCCATGTAGCTGGAGCCTGGCATTCCCTGGGGAGAACAGGGGCTCGTTCCACAACTTCCAGAGACTTCTTTGCCCAGGCAGTTAGAGAACCAGGCAGCTGCCTGGAACCCATGGCCTGAGTCAGACGACGCCCCCGAAGGTGCCTTCCTTGTCCAGCAGACACAGCCCCTCCAGCCTGGTGTGTCCCTCTCAGGGCTTCGCACCAGCAAGTGTCTTGTGCATATCTGTGAGGCCGCCCTTACCTGTCGGGTCAAAGATGGGGGTGTGCTGTGGTGCGGCCTCCCCAGGCTTCCACTCCTTGTTCGGGTTTCTCTCAAACAGGTTTCTTGATTTGGGGGCTATGTCTGGGGGCGTCCTGTCCTCCCCACTGACTGGAACAGAGAAGACCCGTTGGCCAAATTAGACAGGCCTGATGTCAGGGCGAGGGGTGAGCTCAACGGGGGCAGGGAGGTGGGTGGGCTTAGGTTGAGGAGGGAAAGGGGCCTGGGTAGGCGGGTGGAGGCCGAGTGGGGGTGGGAACTCACTGGTGAGGTAGCAGTCCAGGCTGAGAGAGACGTTGTCCATGGCCACCGTGGCTCTGGATCCACGTTCCCACCACACGACCGTGTGCAACCAGAACCTGCATGTGCCCAGAAGGACTGGGTGAGGGGTGGCTGGGGGATCCGGTCTCAGGGTCTCAGGACCCAGCATGCAGGCAGAGGTTCCTGTCTGGGGGTCTCAGGGCCCAGCATGCGGCTGGCGGGTCCAGTCTGGGAGTCTGAGGGTGCAGCATGTGGTCGGGGATTCCTGTCTTGGGGTCTCAGGGTCCAGCATGCGGTCAGGGGAGTCCCGTCTGGGGGTCTCTGCCCAGCTTGCGGCTGGGGGGGACCCTGACTGGGGGGTCTCAGGACCCAGTATTCGACTGGAGGGTCCTATCTTGGGGTCTCAGGACCCGACATCCAGCCATCACAGGCTGAGCACTGGGCTCAGAGTGGGAGGCTTTTATGTATAGCACGGTGGTGAGGTTTGGGCTGAACATGCACCCAGGGGTGAGCACGGTGACTGGTGGGCAGGTTTCCCCCTTGCCTCCCTCCCACCCCCCCAGGAGCCCTCAGGGCCTGTTGTCCCAGCGCTGCACCATCACAATAGTGAAGACCCGGGGCCCACCCAGGGGCACACCCTTGGAGGGTGACGAGAAGGGTGTCCATGCGTGGACAGGATGCAGCCGTGAGGAACTCCCGCCCTCTGCAGCACCCTGGGTCCAGCTGGAGCCAGTGTTTGGAGCAGATGAACAGAAATCCAAGTGCCGCACATTCTCACTTGTAAGTGGGAGCTATACACAGCGTCTGCGCTGACACGACAGGAGTTCTTCTCAGCTTCCTTAACCCCAGGCAGTCACAAGATGGGAACCGCCAGTAGCCCCACCCTCCCCGCATTTGTGACAGTCACCAACTTGTGCACTTAAAACAAATTCACAATATAGAAAGCACAGCTTGATGAAGCTGTCAGAACAAAGGGGACAGAGTGAGAGGGAGCCCAGAGGCTGGCACCGACCTGGAGGGGCAAAAGCAGAAAGCTGGGGCATGGCAGGGACCAGGACGTGGAGGAGGCGGGGGTGGAGGGAACAGAGGGGACAGGGGAACAGAGATGAGGGTGGAGAGGGAATGGGGGGACAGGAGACAGGGGCGAAGGGGATGGGTGACAGGGATGGGGTGGAGGGGAGAGGGGCCAGGAGACAGAGGTGGAGGGGACAGAGGATAGGGAACAAGGTAGGAGGTGGACCTGGGGACAAGCGACGGGGGTGGCGGGGACAGGGTGATAGGAGACAGATGGGGGACGGGGGACAGGAGACAGAGGTGGAGGGGATGGGGGACAGGGGACGATGGCCTCTGAGGAGGGAGGGCACAGAGGGGTAGCAGGCGCTCGAGTAATGTTTTCCTGCCGCGAGGCTCTGACCAGTGAGGGCAGGGCAGCTGAACTGGAAGGTCCTGTCTGCCACGAGAGCTGCCCTGGCCAAGGCTGGACACTGGCCTGGTGATTCCTGGCCACAGAGCAACCGCCGCCTCCTGGGAGAACAGCATTGAACCCAGAGGAGGACTTCCATCCACACAATGCGCTTGTGGCCGGTTGTTCTTCCCAGATTCCTCCTGTGCCGGCCTCCCCCGTCTTGTGAAACCGGGTCATTCACCAGCCACCCTCTTGGTTAGAAAGTCACAATTAAGGACCCAAGTCTGATTTGGTTCTAGAGAAGAAACGCCTGAATCTGTGGTGGCTACGGCCAACCCCACCGGGGTCCTCAGGCCACGCTCCTGTGACATTGGTGGTTGGGAGGGCATGGAAGGAGGAGTGCCCAGCGGGGAACCCCTAAGCCCTGTGCTGGGAGGCGTGGGCTCACCAGGGTGTGTGAGTGTGAGGGAACCCTGCTTGGCCTGGGTGTGTCCCAGGAGACATGGGTCTCTGGCCTCGGTGCGCACTGGCCTTGTCTCCTGCATGGCATCCTGCATCCGGCCAACCTGAGGCCTACAGGGCTCTAAGACAAGCAGACAGGGACACGCACCCAAGTCGCCCACTGTCCAGGGGGACTGAGATGTGTGCACTCGGTACAGGATGAAGAGGAATGAAGAGTTGCATCAGGTTGGGGAGAGTGGGAGGGCTTCACAGAGGAGGTGGCATTTCAGTTGGTTTTGAAGGCAGAGAAGGACTGGAGGATGTGGGCTCAGGAGGAGGCAAAGTTGGCGAGGACGTTTGGAGGCCCTGCCACAAGTTTTGACTCTTGTATCAAAAATGGGCAGCCCCTGCAGGTTTTGAACAGGACGGCGGCAGAACGAGCGACGTCTTGTGATAATTGTGTTGGGATTAGAAAGAGGATCGGGACTGTGTGGGAGGCAGGGAAGGACTGGGTGGTGTGGCGGCCCCTCTGCACGTGTCCTCCATGCCCTCATCGGGCTTCTCTATGGATCTTGGCACGGTCACAGCCACAGTTTCCTCGGGTCTCCACAGGGGACACAGTTCATGGATGAGTTTCTGACTTGAGCCTGTGTTGCCCTGGACAAGCCCGGGTCTGGAACCCCAGCTGGAAGCCAGGCCCTGATGCTGCTGTGAGATGCGAGACCATGCAGGCATTGGGCAGTGCCACTCCGGTAGCAAGAGGGTAGGCACTGGGCTATGCAGAGGGCGGGCAGAAGGGATGTGTGCCCTGGAAGCATCTGGAAGCATCCAGAAGGCACAGATGCCTTTTTTCTCCCAGTCAGTGTCTCCTCATCTGCCAGTCACAGGCCAAGGACAGGCCAGGTATGATTTCCAGCCAAGTTGGGTCAGGGTGTATCTTCCTGGAGGCCTGTGCCCAGGCACGTGAATGACACGTGTGCACTCGCATGATGTGGGGGAGGGGACAGCATCCCTGATGTCCTCCAAGGGCCCTTCAGGGAAGCCGCCAGTCTCCCTTCCGCTCTGCCTTCCTCCCTTGTTCTTGAGAGATTATAGTTTTGGGAGCCTCTGCCCGTCGCCAGCCTCTTCGCATGGATGGAGTGGCGCAGGTGGGTGGCACGGCTTCTCAGTAGACAAGATTCTAATGTGCTGCCAGGTGACTGCAGCTGCCAGTGAAGGGCGTTGTGGTGACACAGAGGTTTACACATAGCTTGAGTCAGGAACACACATAACAATCAGGGAGACACGTCGGATGCTGATACGAGAACATGCAATGCTGCCACATCCACCAGGGCCACACCGCCAACCTGTCCCAAGGCTGAAGGCCTCGCAGGTGGCAGGGAGGAGATGGGAGATGGGGGGGTCGAGGGCAGGGAGAAGCAGAGGCATCTGGGGCTGGGGGCTGGGTGGTGATGGTCGGGGAGGGCACCAAAGGACCCAGAGGACTTTCTTTTCTGTGGGAGCTGGCGGAGAGACAGGGGGAACAGGGTTGTCCCGATGCAGAGATCTCCACCTTGAATCATGCCTGGTGTGTGTCTTCGCCTGACCCTGTATATACCTGGTGGAATATTCTAGGATGAGGGAAAGTTCTGGCATATACCTGGTGGCATATTCTTGATCATTCTGGTATGTACTCTTTCTCAAGAGTGAAATCCCCGCCCCTGAGACAACTTGCCAAGGCTGCAGGGTCAGATGGTTCTAGTGACCATGGTGGCTCCTCCTCTGGCTGCCCCAAAGCCCCAGCTCTGACAGGAAGGGACACTGAGTCCCTAAGGCCAGGGGCACCTTCCCAGTCCTCGTGGGTGGCCTGGTTTAGTTGGAGGGAAGAATTTGTGCCTGGGTCCTCTGTGTTTGCTGGTGTCATGTCAGGCCATGCCCGGAGCCTCCTCTTTCCGTGTCCTTAGCCAGTGAGGTTTTCTCCTGCCCCTAGGAGCCTGCACCTGCTCAGCTCTCTCTGAGTCTCCACGGAAGCTGCTATGGCTTGCAGGGGACTTGGAGGGGGCTTAGAACCTCCAAGGTGCCATTTTGGTTTAAAAAAATCAATGCAGCACGGGTATTTTCACAGTGGAGGCCTTTCTGTATCAGGAGAGGGTCTCATTTATTGTCCTGCTTCACATAATCTTTTTATTAGAAGCCAGTGTTTCTTCAACCAGCAGAGGAAGTATGTCTCTCCCCTCTGCCTTCTGAGCACCTACCATGCACCAGACACCAGTGCCTGCAGCCGGGAGCTTGGCATGTGTCAGGTGTGGAACTTGCTCTCCAGGAGTCTGAAGATTAACATCACTCATTGTTCATTGACCAGGAGAACATTGAAGTTCCTTTGAGTTCTCTACATTAGCCAGAAGAACATGACATCTGGACGACAAGAGAGAAGAAGCCAAGAAAGACTTTGAGAGGCTGACTGTCTCGGAGCAGGGCAGCAGAGTGGGGGGTACCGGTGGGGGCTGTGTCAAAGTGTGGGTGCAGCCAGCCAGGCAGTGGAAACCCAGGCATGGGACCCAGGGAGACATGGATATGTGAGCGGCGTCTGTGAGATGTTGAGGCTGGAGGCATGAGTATCCTGAGTTTCCTGGGGACAGCTGGATGGAACTGGATTTTTCTGTGCTTTAAGCATCCGAAGCCCCATCATCCACCAAATTCCCGACTTTGTGTCCAGGGCGAGAAGAACTGAGAACATAGGGCTACATTTTCAGATATTAAGAATTCTGGAAAAACACGCATCTGTGGACGAGTGAGCCATGCGGTGGTTCCCAAGAAAATCTCAAGCAGATTTGAACATCCTGCCATGTGAAAAAGGTTCACTTCATGCCGTCTGAGCAATGGCTTCTTCATCCGGGCTCATGGTCGGATCTGCCTCCCGGCTCTGCATTCTTGATTGTGGGAACGTAGCCATCAAAAGCAACAACTTGCCCAAACGCCACAGCAAATTTGTGTTGGAAGCAGGATTTAAAAGCCGGAATGGGTCATCTACTCCTTGTTCCAATGATCTGGGATATTTTCTGAGTGAGAAAAGGGCCAGATCCTTCCGGAGTTGTGTTTGATTTGTGTACGTCCGTGCCTGGTTGCACGCCGCGTCTGAGCTGCCAGCCGTGTCTCCCTCTCCATCCAGAAGGGCCCACGCTGCTCACGCCCTGCTTGGAGCAGGCGTCTTGTCCAGGTGCCAGTCTGCTGACAGACTGCCCCGGAGGCCTCATCTGCTACCCTGCCAGCCCC